AATTTATAGTTCATCAGTCGGAAATAACAAAACTTTTTAAAAATTTTTGTTTAATAAATATCATACTGAAATTATAATATAATTCAGGTTTAGAAATTTTGAATCTAAAAACTAAGCTTTCATAAAAGGTTTATTATCACATTTTAAAGCATCATTTAAATTAACAGAAAAACAGATCGAGTAATATCTTTAGACTTAATTTTTGCAAGAAACGCTTTTTTTTTAAAAAAAAAAAAAGAAAAGCAAACTGGTCATCGAGCTCCTGTTTCAATCATTCCTTTGTTTCGCAGGAAATGTTACCGAAAAGAGATTTGGCCTTATTATAAATTCTCAAAACATCCTCTTCCTCTACTTCTGGCCCATGTTCAATACCCTCTGCACAATTTTCCTTAAGATAATAGTTAGGAATAATTTTCTTAACCTTTTTGATAAGGTCATCCTTGTTGAGCTTGGCATTTGACAACAGTTCAAAATTAAAACCAGACTGTAAAACAGTCTTATAAACGTGCTGACCCTTCATATTATTGTGTGGGAGAATTTTCTCAGCAAGATTACCTTGGCGACCTTTCATTCCATAAGAACGAACTAACCGTAATAATAAAAAAAAAAAAACACATGAATATAAATATCTTTTTAAACTATCTTCTTTTGAGCTCACTTATTAAAAACTCTTAATTTAGTATATAAGTTATGTACTATAAGAATATTGTGCAGAGTAAAATGTACATCACAATTATAGATTTAGAAAAAGGCCTTTGCCAAAATGACTGATTTCTTCAATAAGTTTAATATCTTATTAAAACGAGAAAAAGTAATTTTAAAAAAAACTAATCTTGCTCAAGAGCTATAGTTGAGCCAGCAGATTTGATATTGTGAGCTATGCCTACGTAACGTATATCAGATCTTGATATAAGACTGATCTTGGACCCGATATGTTTAATACTGTTCATCGTTTTGTAACGAGAATATTAAAATTGAAATTAATTCCATATATTTTATTAGAACCTGAATTTACTAGCAAATATAGAACTACTGTAAATGACCTGATACAAGACCCAGGCCTCTTATATTTCGCCAAAAAAAATTAATTAGTAAAAAAAAAAATTTGATATATAGGAGATCTTGTATCTGGCCATTTTATGGGTAGTACACAATACGCTGGGGTGTCAGATATTGGTGTAATTACAAACATAATGCAAGCCATAGTAAATTCCAATACTAATGATT